AGACGTTAGTATATATGTACATATGCTAGTATAGTCCACCCAAACACATAGAAATCCTATTTCAATGAGTGGAAGATCCAAACACTATTTGATATCACTTTATGTTGCATTACATGACTTTTTTTTAGTATGATTTAGTTGTGTTAAAATTGCTTGTACTAAGATGTAATGTACTTTTTAAAATGTCCTTCCTTGTTGACACTTTTATTTCATAATTTCGTTTCATTTAAATAACCTTTGTCATTCAACGCTGTGTACAGTGCCACAAATTGGCATATACATGACCAACTTTAGGGACTCTTATAAATTGTTGTACGTGTAAATGAGAAAACTAAAATTTCATATTGTAAATGGCCACCTTATGTCAACAATAATGCAACACTTAACTTTAATAGTAATATACTTATTTTATGTTTGGTAAATAAAGGTTTGCGGCAAGATGAGAGGGAGGGTAGGGTATTTTGGGGATGGCCATGCAAACTAAGTCCTATTTGGGGAATTTATGTTTTGGACTCCTATTTAGGTATATTTGATATGTTTTAGTACTATTTAGGTTTTTTTCCCTAAGCATATCTAATGCGTCGAACATTCATATAAATTGAATCTCAATTCATAACCAAATCATTTGATATCATGCACATAATGTTCAGTTTAGATATTCAATCATCAATATTCATTATTCATCATTCAATATTCATCATTCAACAATATCCTTAAACTATTCTTAGTCTAAGGTCAATCTCTTTAATGTTTACCAACTCTTAAATGAATTCTAGTTTAAGATTCTTCAACTATATTATAGTTTAAGGTACTCCTAACTAACCCTTAATCTAAGCCTAGTTTAAGATACAAATTTTCAAAAGAGGTTTTCAAAATCTTAAACTTATTTTCGCTTAAGATCATCCAAAAAACGAACAACAGAATGCTCACTGTCGGGTTGGATGGTATCCCCAAACGAGTGATCCTCAAGTTTGGTTTGTAGATCCCGTACGTACATTTTAACCCAAGACACCGAATATTCATAATATACCCGCAAGGCCTATTTCTATACTATCTTAGAGGTCTTCTAGATAGTCTTAAAAACCAACGTCAACCTAGGTATATCTTAGAGTTCTTCTAGATATCCTTACAGTCCAAATCATTTCATAATCATCAATGTATTCTTTTTAAATCATAGTTTAATCATCAATAATCATTTTAATCAATTGATTCATCAAATCATAATTATCATAATATATAATCATTCATCATTATCATATATTACCATAACATCTAATAGCAAATAGCGGCCTAGTTTCGAGTGTTAACACCCTAGCTTACCGTCATGCATCACATAAGGTCTTTTTAGTTGTATAAACATCATTTTTTATTTCAAGAAATCATCTTTATAATAATCATAATTGATTGGTATCAAAAATAGGATTTTAGAGCTCAAAAATAGCATTTTCAAACACATTTTCGGAGCAGAATTTCGGGGGGTCGATCCAGCCCTCTGGATTGATCCATATTAAAAAAAATACCCCTCTGAATCGATCCACCCTGTGTATTTTTTATCACTGTTCATCTTCTTCTTCATTTGGGTCCAATTTCGAGAATACCATTTTTAGTTACCAAACTTCATTTCAATATATAGAATTGTTTTCCAAGGTTCATAGATCATTTTGAAATCATTAGTTCATAGTTTTAACAATAATTGCATAGTTTATGATTCTTGGTTCTTTAAGCATGTCAAACACAAAGTTCAACCAAACGATCATTTCTGAACGTAGAAACGGTTTATATGAACATTCTAGTCACTAGATATATCTAGTGGCTTACCTCGAAGCTTTTCAAAGGTTTTAGAAATTTTCCGGCGTTACTTCCAGCGAGGTTTGTGGCTAGCTCCGGCGACTTCACACCAAATTAACAGCACCAATGAACTCCCACTCAACAAGGAACACAATGATACTAACTTAGGAAGCATTGGTGAAGAAATGGGAGAGAAGGGGATTCTTATATAGCAAGAGGAAGAGGAAGAAAACATGTGAAGCAGAGTTGCTGCTGCATAAGATTTCCAATTCACAATCTTCATTCGGCGATAAAGATATTCAGCACGTTAATCCTTGATTGAGACTAATTTGGTCACAGCATGGTGCACTTTTTGGTCCAACTTTCTTAGAATTGAATTCTGTTTGCACCGTTGTGATCAAACAGTTAAACTCTATCCAACGATATAATTTTTATATTTATTTGTAATACTTTTTCCGATATCATATTTTTGGGTGTTTGACTTTGACAGAGTCAAAATTAGTTTAATTGACCTTTACTAAAAAAGGTGCTTATATTCAATTCATATTATTTATTCTCATGATTTATTTCAATAAACCATTTCAAAGTTCACATCATAAACAAATTCTTCATTTATTCTTGATTTGGGTTTGTACTCAGGTTCTCAATCAAGGTCACACAATAAGTCAACATATTAGATTTATCTCTATGAGATTTATTTAGATTGTGATATTGGATATCAATACATATTTATTTTGGACCAAAGCCCAATAATAATTTATTTTAATCAAAATAAGTTTGTTTAATTGAATATTTAATTTAATAAATTTTAGGGTATATTTTGGGGCGTTGCAAAGATAATTGGAATGAAGCACTTTTTCACGAACCCTTCTATCCAACAGCCAAGAGAGAGCCTCATTGCACACCATTGCATCAGCTATGAGTGGGATATGAACACAAAATAACCTCCGATTAACGGTCAATTGAAATGCGAAACAAGAGCACATTCAAAGCCAACTTCTTTGGTACTCGAGAATAAAGCAATAGTAACATACCCAAAAGGGACATCTCTCCTACATAGTGTCCTCACATTAGAAGAGACAGGTAGATGCCCACAATTCAACCATGCATCCGCCGCTGCACCAACACATTTCACCACAACACAGGGAGCCTCCATTT